CATTCATCCTCCTTTCCCCTCCCACCTGCCCAACACCTGATGAATGTTACTTCCGTATGTGCACATAAGTGTTGATCAATTAGTACCAATTTAATGGTGAGTACATGTGGTGCTTATTTTTCCATTCTTGTGTTACTTCACTTCGAAGAATGGGCTCCAGCTCCATACAGGATAATATAATAGGTATTAGTTCACCATTTTTTATGGCTGAGTAGTACTTCACGGTATACATATACCACATTTTATTAATCTACTCTACTCAACTGATAAAGGACTAATAACTAGAATCTATATAGAACTCAGGAAAATCAACAAGGAAAAATCAAAAAGCCCCATTATAAAGTGGGCAAAGGAGATAAACAGAAACTTTTCAAAAGAAGGCAGACTAATGGCCAACAAACATGAAAAAATGCTCAGCATCTCTAATCATCAGGGAAATGCAAATCAAAACCACAATGAGCTATCACTTAACTCCAGAGAGATTGGCTTTTATCAAAAAGTCCCCAAATAACAAATGTTGGCATGGATATGGAGAGATAGGAACGCTCATACACTGCTGGTGGGACTGCAAACTAGTATAAGCTCTGTGAAAAGTAATATGGAGATACCTCAAAGAGCTACAAGTAGAACTACCATTTGAACTGGCAATCCCATTACTGGGTATCTACCCAAAAGAACAAAAGACATTCTATAAAAAAGACATCTAGCAGCACAATTCACAATTGCAAAGATGTGGAAACAACCCAAGTGCCCATCAATACATGAGTGGGTTAATAAAATGTGGTATATGTATACCACGGAGTTTTACTCAGCCACAAAAAAAAAATGATGATATAGCACCTCTTGTATTATCCTGGATAGAGCTGGAACCCATTCTACTAAGTGAAGTATCCCAAGAATGGAAAAACAAGCACCACATGTACTCATCATGAAATTGGTTTTAACTGATCAACGCCTAAGTGCACATATAGTAATAACATTCATTGGGTGTTGGGCAGATGGGAGGGGATAGAAGGGGATGGGTATATATACACCTAATGGGTGCAGTGCGCACCATCTGGGGGATGGACATGCTTGAAGCTCTGACTTGGGTGGGGCAAAGGCAATATATGTAACCTAAACATTTGTACCCCCATAATATGTTGAAATAAAAAAATTAAAAATAAAAAAATGGGACTTGATTAAATTTAAAAGCTTATGCATAGCCAAAGAAATAATCAACTGAGCAAATAGACAACCTACTGAATGGGAGAAAAGATTCACAAGCTATATATCTGATAAAGGGCTAATAACCATAATCTACAAAGAACTCAAGCAAATCAGCAAGAAATATCAAACAGCCCCATCAAAAAGTAGGCAAAAAAAAAAAGTGGGCAAAAGACATCAACAGAAGCTTTTCAAAAGATAGACAAATAGCCAATAAACATATGAAAAAATGCTCAGTGTCACTAATCATCAGGGAAATACAAATTAAAACCACAATGAGATATGATATCATCTTACCGCTGTTAGAGTGGCTTTTATTAAAAGTTCAAAAACATTAGATGCTGGCATGGATGCAGAGAGAAAGGAACACATACACTGTTGGTGGGATACCAAATTAGTACAACCTTTATGGAAAACAGTATGGAGATATCTGAGAACTAAAAGTAGACTTACCATTTGATCCAGCAATCCCACTACTGAGTATTTACCCAAAAGAAAAGAAGTCATTTTACCAAAAAGGCAACCGCACTCAAATGTTTATTGCAGCACAATTCACAATTGCAAAGATGTGGAATCAACACAAGTACCTATGAATTCATGAGTGGATTAACAAAATGTGGTATATATATTCCATGGAATACTACTCAGCCATGAAGAAGGATGACTTAATGCCTTTTGTAGCAATTTGGATGGAACTAGAGACCATTATCGTAAGTGAAGTATCTAAAGAATAGAAAAACAAATACAACATGTACTACCTATTAAATTGGAACTAACCAATGAGCACACACGTGCATAGAAGGAAGTAAAACTCAACGGAAATCAAGCGGTAGGAATGGAGGAGTAGGGGAGGGGCAATAACCTACGTAATGAGTACAATAAACACTATCTGGGTGATGGGCACACTTATAACCATGACTCAAGCTTTATAAAAGTGATCCAAGTAACCAAAAACATTGGTACCCCTATAATACTTTGAAAAAAATGAAAGAAATTGGGATTATTGAAATTTAGTGATTTAGAAAAGGGGCCTATGGAGCTGAAATTCAGACCTCTTGGAGAGAGTGTATCTTGGCTATTGGTGTTTTTTTGTTTGTTTGTTTTTTAATCAGAGGAGAAGCACCATAGATCTGCAACCCAGAAATTTGAAGATAGGGTGCCAGTATGCTGGTGCTGTTATTTTTAAGGGGGTACTGAGGATAGTCCTAAAACTGTTAGAAAAACTATATCCTGGATTAAGCTCTTGCCATAGGAACAAGCTATTACTGTAGGTGCTGGCACAGCAAGCAGGGGAAACGCCCATAAAAAGCAAACAGGAAGGAGTAAGTCCCTTCTTCCTCTAACCTTCCAGTTTCTCTGGAGCACGCCCTATTATCAGAGCTAAAATGGAATCCCATAGGAAACAGGAATCTGGTTTCCAGAGTGCTAGCATCAGAAAGCTGACTAAAGAAGAGTGAGTTTTGAGTTGAGAGATAATAATAATTGGGACAGCAAATGTTTTAATTGCAAGTTTTATTTATTTAATAGATATGGGACCATCAAGATGTTCTTGCTTTATTAACTAGATTTTTGGTAGTAATTTTCCCATTTCATGTTTAATAAATATTAATAAAATTAAGGAAATTAATTTTTAAAATTAATTGGTGTAAAGTTGTATATAATGTCTTGGAATATTTTTAAAGACTGTAGCATCTGTAGAGTGATCTCTTTTTTTATTCCTGGCTTTTTGGTTATTTATGTCTTTTTGCTTTCCTTCTTGGTTTGTTTTGCTAATGTATTATCAGTTTTGTTGATCTTTTGAATTATATCAACTTTGGTTTTGCTGATTTTTTAATTATAAAATTCAAAAATTAAATTTTTGCTCAAGTATTAAGAATACTTCCTTCTACTTTCTTTAGGTCAATTTTCTTGAGATGGATACTTAGGTAATTAATATGCATCTTTTCTTTTAAAAAAATCTATGCATATATAATAATGCCCCTGTAAGCATGACTGTAGCTGTACTCCGTATTTTCTATGTTTATTGTATTTTTATTAGCATTCAGTTAAAAATGTTTTTTTAAAATTTTGATTGTAATTTTTTGAAACATGAATTACTTAGAAGTTAACTGTGTTGAACTACTGATGAGTTAAATAAAACTCCTATGCTTAGAAACCATATGGACAGTAGGACCTCATTTTTTAATCTCTAAGAACGAATTACATAATCTAGCAAGGAGTCAATTAAAATGCCCTGTTCTTATATTCTGTTCATAAGGAGGAGAGAAAGGAAACTGCATGTAGGCTTCAAATCACTCACGAAGTGATGGTGACACCTATCACTAAAAAGTTATGTCAGTGAGCACCAGTGAGATAATTTCATTTCTAAAATATTCTAATAAGTCACCATATGTTCCCATATAGGTCTGTAGGCAAGAATGAGTGATGCTTCTACGATCATATGGTTTGGGGAAATCATGACTACAATTACTTATATATCTTTGTTAGATCAGTTATGTTATCATCATGAACTCTATAATTTATTGGCACAGAGATAATGATTGGTTTGTTACTATTGACTTGTTAGGCATAGAGATGAGAACCAAGAAATTATGACTTTTCCCTGTATAGAAATTAAGATATTATAAAGATGTATAAATACAATTGTATACATAAAATGACATACATCATCCAAGGGTATAAAATATGCAACATTATACAAGCTAGTCTATTTTAAAAGATTATATTATGTTGACATAACTGACATTGCCCATTCTAACTCTATTACTAATACAAACTATACATTTTTCTTTTCTCTATATTTTACTACATATGTATTAAATGTATTTTATATGTGTGTGTGTGTGTGTGTATACATACACATGTATTTTTGGAGATGGAGTGTCAGGTGAGGGCATCCTTAGAAAACAGAAATGTGTTAGGTACATAGCCTAGAACCACATTGCTTATCTGAACTTTGCAGGGAATAAATGTGTATTTGTACTGTGTTGTTTTTTTAATGGTTTCTCCTTGGCTTTCTTCTCATCAGTCCAAATTTCTTTTGCTTTGAAGCAATGCCTCCTTCACCTTCCCCATACTCACAGTGCCTTATCCTATTTCTTCATGTAAGGTAAAACTGTAATCATAAAAATCATTTATTAACTGAGATAATCAGTTATTCTCCCTATGTGTTTAAGAAAAAAATTCAAGGGAAACTCTATGTTATATCAGTAATTAAGACTTGAAAAATTAAAGGGATTACATTGCAGAGGACAGGGCAATAGTATTATCATTCGATCCATTTATCATTTTGTTTTCTAAGTAGATGTAGACCACTGAAATATCTTTAGTATACTATCTAGCTAAGTTAGAATTAGAATGGATATGTCATATATTTTTAGAAATAGGAATAATGATAACTAACTCAAAGTGATTTTGTAGTAATACACAATCCAAGTAAAATGCTTTGTACAGTGTTGAGAATACAGGTAGTGTTTAATAAATAGTGGCGATTATTTGTAGTTACCATTGTCATTATTGTTATCATCTAGTAATTTTTGAACATATACATAGGCATATTTATGCAGAATTATTATTCTCTCTAAGTGGTAAGAATCTAAGTGTTGGATTTTTGAGCTTATTTTCATAATGAAGAAAATATAAACCATACATCTAGGGCTACTCATAACTTACAGATATGAATAAGTAATATTCTCAGTTCAGTTTACAGGTCAAAAATGTGGCCACACTGGGGTGCACACAGTGGATTTTTTGATTTCATGTGCTGTCTAACAATTATTCCTTGAGTCCATATGCTAGTTTATCAGCCTCTTCATGGCATTTCTAATCTCCTGATTTCTCAGCGTATAAATGGCTGGATTCAGGAGAGGTGTGATTACTGTGTAAAACACAGCAAGAAACTTGTCCACCCAAGTGATGCTGAGTGGCCACAGATAGATGAAGATGCAGGGTCCAAAGAAAAGCACCACTACTGTGATGTGGGAAGTACAGGTAGAGAGTGCTTTCGATGCTCCATCTTTAGAGTGAAGGCGGACAGTTAATAGGATATAAGTGTAGGAGATCATCAAGAGAATGAAGCAAGCTGTTGCCAAAACCCCACTGTCAGCATTTATCACTGTTCCCAAAGTATGAGTATCCATGCAGGCTAGTTTGATCACCAAAGGGATATCACAGAAAAAGCTGTCCACTACTTTGGGTCCACAGAAGGGCAGATCCAAAATCATTGCCAGTTGACTCATGGCATGCAGAAAGCCAATGATCCATGATATTAAAACTAGCCAGACGCACTTTTGTCTGTTCATGATGCTGGAGTAATGGAGTGGCTTGCAGATGGCCACGTAACGGTCATAGGCCATTGTCACGAGAAGCACCATCTCACCCCCTCCAAAGAAATGAACACAAAGGATCTGACTCATGCAGCCCCCAAAGGAAATGGTCTTATTATCCTTTAGAAAGTCTGTGGTCAGTTTAGGAGTAGTTACTGAGGAAAGGCAGAAATCAACAAATGAGAGGTTGGCTAAGAGAAAGTACATGGGGGAATGGAGACGGTGGTCATTGATGATTAATAGCACGACAAGGAGGTTACCCACAACAGTCATCAGGTAAAGTATAGAAAATGGCAAGAAGAGGAGTGTCTGGAGCTTCCTTGAATTACAAAGTCCCTGAAAAATAAACTCAGACACAGCAGACTGGTTTGCTTCTTCCATTTAGTACAATATGTTCTAAGGGGACTCAAAGAAAAAGAGATGAACTGAGAACTTCTAGAATAGAAAGAAAAACTTAATGTCAGGTACTAGTGAGTAGATAAATATGTCTCATGTACAAAATTGAAATTTTAGCATTTTACTAAACTCAACATTGAAAACAAATGTTTCTTGAATTTGGATCTATGTACAGCCTGTGGCTAACAAGGGGAGCTAAGTGTAGAAGGGTAGGTCAAAAATTTGACCTTTAGAATTACAATTCTTAGGGCTATCAAAAATGGATTATCTGATTAAAAATGTCAGAAGCAAATGTTTTTCATAAACAATTTCTTCAAGCCTTGAATCTACCTCTCCTCCAGGGAATCAGAAAGACCTATCTTTAGTGCATAGCTGTAAAGTATATTAAGAGGCTTTTTATTTTACCAGGGTAAATCCAGGGCAATAATGTAATACTACATTTCTGATAAAAACACATGGTTCTCAGAAATAAATCTATTGCTAAGTGGAATGTATGAATAGACTGAATTGAACCAAAACTGATTATAAACATGGGAAAAACTATTCATTAAATGACTTAAGAAAGGATGTTTATATTCCAAAAGAGACCCCAGATGCTGACTACACATTTCTAGCTTTACATAGTTCCCTGCATTTTGAATTTCCTGTGAGAAGTTATTTCCACAAAATCGTATATTCCATGACCTGAGCAATGCCATTTATTATCATACGTGGACTTGCCCTTGACTCTCACTAGTAAGACAGATTTCTTTTTTGAGACTAGCTTAAATGATAGATATTTGAAAGCTACTTTTAGTCATGACTGTCTTTCATGGGAGAAAATATAAATTATAAGTTCATTTGTGTTTAAATTATTCATCTATATTATTTAAATTTACCTCCGTGGAAATATTTATATTTTCCTAAGCCAGAAAACCAAATCCTTTTTTTTATTTCTTTCTCCTTCTCTCCCTCTCCCTTCTTCCTTCATTCTATCCTTCCTTTCTCCCTCCCTTCCTTCCTTTCCCCTTTCTTTCTTTCCTCTTTTCTTCCTTTCTGTCTTCCTTTGTCTTTCTTTATCTCCCTTTCTCTTTTTATACTTTACCCATTTCAGGCCAAAAACTGGAAGATTAAAAGTTGGCTAATTAGCACATAGTAGGTACCAGGTCTGTGTGAAGTACTTTACAAACATTATATTTTATTAATTACGGCATCTATTTACATTCTGCAGATTTGAAAGATTGATTTTCCCAAGTCATGCAGCTAAAAGTGGCAAAGCTTCTAGAATACGGACTGAGGGCTGTCTGACTTCAAAGCCTCCAATATAACTTCCCTATGAGAAATTGCTCCTGAGAGGAATCTTGAGTTTGAGGAGACTAAGAAAATTACTAAGATTTGTGAAATAAGACATTTTGTCTTATAAAGAGATAATCTGGATATGAGTTTAAATGGCCCATTACAACAAGAAAAGAAGTTTATGTTTTATTAAAAACATTTCAATGTCATTGTTTGTCTTCAGATTGGAATGTACTTAACCTTAATGACTAAGTTTTTTACATTTACTACTTGATCAAGTGGTAGAAACATCCAAATCCAAATAAATTTAGAAAATATTAAGGTAAATTGAATGGGTTGGAAAAATGATTCTTTCCAAATCTTGGCATCTGGGAACTTCTAAGACTGTAGAAGAATAGTGCTTTTTGTTAGTGTGTGAGACTCTAAGGTAGGAGTCCCAGGGATTAGTTGGGAGAGAAAATCTAAAATATTTTTAGTAAGTATATCAACTAAATAACACATTTAGAGCTCTAAGATCAATATGTATGTATGGAAAAATGCTATATAAAAAATTATTCTAAAATTAGTGGTAGGATGAAAGTGAAAGTTCAAAAATCAAGTAGGTTGTAATATACTTACCCTACAGGAATCACCTGGGAAACCACATTCTTCTTGGTGGATAACACTTACTCTAAATTCTATCTTAACTCTGAAATGAAGTCCAATTTGTTTTCTGCAGTGACCAATGTTGGTGACAAAGTATGTATTTCAGTGTGGCACGTATATACTGTAATGAGCAGTCTCTGGGATGGAAACTTTCCAGCTCTGTGTTTCAGATAGAGCCAAGAGTTTGGAAACAATTTTGCTTTCATGCTCCTCAGGGATCCTTAGCTTCCAACTTTTCCTAAATTTGAAGACATCATGTAACATTACATCCTTTTCAATGTTAGGTTCAAGTTAGACCAGTTAAATACAACTAAAAATGTAAGATGAGAAAGTGTAAACAAAGGATAAAAAGTGTTAGCCAGGATGTGGAGAAATTGGAACCCTTGTACATTGTTGGTGGCAATGTAAAATGGTGCAGCAGCTATGAAAACAGTGTGGAGGTTCCTCAAAAAACTAAAAACAGAACTACCCTATGATTTAGTAATCCCACCACTGGGTATCTATCCAAAGAAATGAAATTAGTATGTCAAAGAGATATCTGAACTTCCATGTTCATTGCAGAATTATTCACAATAGTCAATATATTGAAACTTCCTAAGTGTCCATGGACAGATAACTCAATAAAAAAAAAGTGGTATATACATACAATAGAGTATCATTCCACCTTAAAAAAGAAGGAAATTCTGTCATTTGCAATGACACAGATGAACTTTAATGGCATTGTACTAAGTGAAATAAACCAATTAGTAAAACAAATACTGCATGATTCCACTTATGTGAGGTATCTAAGACAGTCAAGCTCATAGAAATAGAGAATATAATAGTGATTTCCAAGGGCTGGGGGAGAAGGGGATTGGGAGGCATTCAATGTGTATAAAAATTTAATCGAATAAGGTCTAGAGACCTACTGCACAACATAGTGCCTATAGTTAACAATATGGTATTGTATACTTCAAAATCTGTTAAGAAGGCTGATTTCATGTTAAGTGTTTCTACAAAAAACAAAACCAAAAAACCAAAGAATGAAAATAAACCTCCTAAACCCAAAAAACCGCACACAAAAACAAACAAAAACAAAGAGATGCAAGGAACCTTTGGGAGGTGTTGGATATGTATATTACCTTGATTGTGGTGATGATATGATAGGTGTTTACATATATCCAAACTCATCAAATTGTACATTTTAAATATGTACAGTTATTGTATATCAATTATAACTGAATAAAGTTGTTAAAAACAAAATGGTTCTATTATTCTGTTTGTTAGGAGGATATAACACTCTTCTATTTAGTCTGTATCTACCATGTCATAAAATTGAACTAAGATGTTCGTCCCAGCAAAAGTTAGATTTGTTATGTAGGTGGGCAGGTGACAGTCAGCTTATCATGGGCATGTTGCAGCTGTGCTCATGATTTAAGGGCCTACTTGAACTTTGGCTTCCTATGACTCAGAGGAATGATTAGGTTTCATCATTCTAAGGGCTTCCTTGAGCAGAGTTCTGAAAATGAACAGTTTGAGCATAAAAACATATTTTGAACATTTCTCTAAGTGAAGAAAAGATAGTTTCTAATTCATACTTTATTAAAGAGATAATATATTAATACAGCATAATTTAATAAGATTCAAATAATTCATTAGATACATTTGGAGCAAATAATGAAGGCCCTTTCATCTCTCCTTCCCACTCTTATCTACTCTTGGATTGTAACAACTACCAAGCTTGAGCTACTTCTCTCTATTTCCTCCCCCTCCCTGCCTCTGGTAACAACAATTCTACTCTGTCTCTATTTACTTATTCAGCTTTTTTTCCCCCCAATATTCCACATATAAGTGAGTTCATACAGTATTTTTCATTCTGTGTTTGACTTATTTCATTTAGCATAATGTCCTCCAGGTTCATCCCTGTTGTCACAAATGGTGGTATATACTTCTTTCATAAGGCTGAATATTACTCCAGTGTGTGTGTGTGTGTGTGTGTGTGTGTGTGTGTGTGTGGTGTGTCTATATATATATCCATATATCTATATACATATCATTTCTTTATCCATTCATCCACTGGTGAACACTTAGGTTGTTCCCATATCATGGCTATTATGAATAATGTTGCAATGAACGTGGGAGTATAGGAGTGCAGATACCTCTACAAGGTGCTGATTTCATTTCTTTGGGTATACATACAACAGAGGAATTGCTGAATCATATGGTAGTTCTATTTTTAATTTTTTGATAATCAATACTATTATCCATAATAGCAATTATCCATAATTGCTGTACTAATTTACATTTCCACCAGTATTATAAAAGGGTTCTCTTTTCTCTACATCCTTGCCAACACTCTTTATCTCTCCTTATGGATAATAGAAATCCTAACATGTATGAGGTGATATGCCCTTGTGGTTTTGATTTGCATTTCCAGAATCATACATACAGTATGTTACCTTTCGAATCTGGCCTTCTTCACTCTGTACTTGAGATTCATCAATGTTGTTGCATGTATCAGTAGATTCTTTTTATTGCTAAGTAATATTACATTATATGGATGAACCACTCTATATTTATCCACTCTCTACCTTAGGATATTAGGGTTGTGTCCAATTTTTATTGATTAAAAATAAAACAGTGTGAACATTCATGCACTTACATTACATAAGTTTTTATTTCACTTGGGCAAATACCTAAGAGTGAATTTGCTTGGTCAAATGGTTTATTGCATATTTAATGATATAAGTCTTCCTTAAGTCTTTCAAAAAGATGAAATGAATGGCCAATATCCATATAAAAAAGTCTATAAGCATATTTATCATTAGCGTTGGTGCAAGTTGTTTAAAAGTTTTCTCTCTATCATACTGTGTAAAACCAGAATTATTCTGCCTTAAACAGGGCCTTCAGGTGGCAAAGTTTGGAACATGAGAGTGGAATTTGAAAATTTCAGAAGTTCTAATTTTGGATGACCTAGTTTTCTCTAGTGAAGTCAAAAGAATTTATCGAACATTTTCATAGTGCATAGCCTATTCACAACTGGACGCATCAGATGAAAGAGATCCTGAGTGTTGTGGATTATACCA